TCTCTCTCTCTCTCTCTCTCTCTCTCTCTCTCTCTCTCTCTCTCTCTTTCAACTCATACACGAGTAGCTCATCCATTTTCGAAATCACACAAATGATTCAAAAGAGTACTGGATCAGTCGAGAATACAAACAAATTCCATTAGACACATAAGCAGAAGAGGAGAAAAAAAAAGAATTATTCTGTCACAAAATCGATGATGTCAACGGAATATTTCCATTTGCATCGTCAACGGAAGAAGGAGCAAAAAGAAATGCACTTCGTTATTATTTGTTTTGATATTTAAGTTTATTTACTCGGAATCGAAATGCAATTTCCATTTGACTTCAAACCAAATATCACCGATGAATATGCTGTATGTCAAACCCCCCCGAAAAGAAAACCATGCACAATACACACATTTTTTTCAATGTGTGAACAAAAAGCATTGACTGCACATAAAAACTGTCCCAGTCTCTTGTTTGTGTGTTTGTGTTTTTCGACAACAGAAATAATCATAATAAGATGCAAGGCAGTCGATATTTCCAAATTCGAAATGCACGACGTCATCGAAGTTTCGATGTGAAACGATAAAGAGCGGCTTCTCTCCACCTCCCAACATCACGATAATTCATGGCATCGAAGTGCATAGCTCCGAGCTTACCGTTCGATTCTGGTTCATTCGTTGGTTCGTTCAATTGTGTACGCTTTTTCGTTTCGCACATAAATAATATAAATCTCATTCTGTTTGCCACCACACTTCCCTCCGATTGAAGTGTTGTTTGCTCTGACATTTTACCATTTTATTTATGTTCCCACTCCAAATGAATTTAGTTTTATCATCATGTCATTGCATTTTCCGAATGAATATGTAAAATTTATTTTGTAACTGTTCAAGTTGAAACTGGCAAATACAAACTCAAACATAGCAATGAAAGTGAGAGAGGTAGAGAGAGAGAGAGAGAGAGAGAGAGAGAGAGAAGCAGAGAGAGAGATAGAGCAACGCTATCCTCTTCGAACTCGACAGAATACGAGTCGGAGAGAAATGTTTGTAGCGAACGTATATATGTCATTGGAGTTCCTGTGTGTACACAGCTAACAGTTTGCAACAATTCTCTTTCCGTTCGTTTGAAAATGAGAAACGAAAATGAGAGAGAGAGAAAGAGAGAAACAGAGAGACGGTATTTGATATTATTTTGCGCGATACTGTTCACATAATAAACGAGTGCACGTTGCCATCTCGTTTGCATGCTCGCTAGAAAATTGTTTTTATAACATTCGAGTAAAACGCATCGATGCACAAAGCAATGCGATATGTCTAAATGGCAGTCTGGCATCACCGCGCATTTAAACACACCACACACATTCCACACTCTCTCCAGTCGCAGCTCACATACAATCCGGATATATACACAATGATGATGGGATTCTTTGTGCTCCACGTTAGTGACATTTACTGAGATAGCGATTGCTACTAGCTCGATATTGTGGTTGATGTCACTGATATTGATTGAATTGGTAAAAAAACAACTTGAATGCATTTACCCAAATGACACTCACCCACCTCCCTCTGTACCGTTGCCACTCTTCCGCTCTCTTTAGAAACTACACACACACCGGCAGACTAGTCCTTTAATTCAACGTAATTGAATGTACACGACAAAATTTGCATTCTCAATTACAACCAAAGCGAAAAAATAACTTGTGATTAGTATTGTTTGCACTAGCGGTTTGCAATAGCACAACAAATCCATTCACATTTCGAGATGCTGCAGTTTTATGACCAAACCACGGAATTGGTTGAAGTGTACAGAGTCTCTTGGTTTGTCATATTAAACCTCTCGAATTAATCAAACAGTAAATAGAATGATTGATTCGCTTGAATGATTTAAATAAGAGGGAAAAAACTGATAAGCAAACAGATGAGCAAAAAACCATCATCAGATCGTCAATCAACTGCAATTATGGTTAAATTCAATTTGTGAACATGGAATAAGGTAAAAAAAGGCAATTGATTAATTCATTATCGATTCCATTCCATGAAGGCCATTGTCCTCTAACATACTTATTTCACTAATTGTTATTTTTATTGAATTAATTTTTTCGTCTATTTTCGAGAAATTAATTTCAAATGGCGAACACACACACCACAAAACCAAAATAAAACAGGCCCTTTTGGAATCTGTTCTTGTGCTCAATTTGTAAACAGTAAAAACATATATTAGAAGATACCAACTGTCGTCACGTCAAAAGATGTTGTGTGTCATCCCGTCCGGTTAGTATTATGCGGTTCGTGTTCCAGTTGCAGCCTCAGCTGCCAAATTGACACGCTATTCTTCATCGACAACACAACAATGGATGCATGTTGTAAAATGTATAATAGCATCCGACGAGCTTACTCTTCAACGTGTTACAACGATATACAACAAGTCAAATATAAACAAGCAAGCAATTGTATGGCAATCGATATGTCGGGATCGGTTTTAGAAGAAGTGCATTGGCCTAGCCTGGTGGCGGAGCACATAAAATTGCTCGATAGAATGTTTTGATATTTATGTATGTTGTGCGATATATTGATTACATTGGAAGTGATATATGATGACATCGCAAGCAATATGCGAAACAATGAATATTGCAATTAGGCTTTTTAGACATTTTCGCCCATGGCCACTTCGATACCACATGTGTGTTCTTTCAGTTGATGTGCTTGTGTTTGTGTTTATGGTTTTGTGTCTGTGTGTATTCGACTCTGACAAAATCACTTGCTACCATCTTCTAAATATTCCATGGCATACATTCTGACACCAAAAAATTCAGGGGGGGTCAAGCCAAAAATTCAAGGGGGGGTCAAAAAAATCAATTCTATCTAGTGTAAATTTCTTCCCGAAAAATATTGCTGACCGGGGGGGGGGGGGGGGGGATCCACAATTTCGAATTTGAAGAGCAAAAAAGAAAAGGTCCTCACTTTCGAAAATCGATTCTATCTAGTGTTAAACCGGTATCCAGAAGAAAGTGAGGACTAAAAAAAAAAAGGTCCGAAAATGGCAACGGGTCCAAAATAATCGTTGGGGGTCAAATTTTTCCAGGGGGGGTCAGGATCAACGAGATCAGACTATGTCAGAACCTATGTTCCATGGCATTTTGCATTGTAATGCAACCCGGGGATTTTTAATCGGCCGTTGAATAAAAAATTGAGTTCTATATCGGAATGAATGAGAGACCGACAGATAGTGAACAATATCTCGACGTCGCATGTTTAACAAAGAGATTTAAAATGTGATGTTTCTATTTTCGTCTGTTTGTGTGTTTGTGAGCGGGGATTTTCTGTTGGATTCGTTTTTTTTTGCTTTGTTCATTTTCGATAATTTATGGCAAATAGTACGGTCGAATAAATCGTTGTCTTCGTCCGCGATCGTAATTTTGCAACTGTTTGCCGAACAGCCAAGTCAATAGGCAACATCAATATCAAACTTCGAACCAATGTCGAAAAAAGAGAAACAATACCGTATATCCAACGGCAAACGCATTCCACACACACACACACATAAATGTAATATAAGTGGAATATGCTTCAATTTCATGGTCAAATAAACAATTTAATTCAGTTCCCAGTTTTTAAATGCAAAAAATATTTTCGGGATGGCTTTAAAAAAATATGCCCGGCCGCCCCAAAAGCAGTGTGCTTTTCCCCCATGGTTTTTGGCCAGCAGTTGTAGTTTTTTTTGGGGTTTCTTCTGCCTCGAACGGTTTGTTTGATTTACGGAATCAATTATTGCCGTTGTACCAAACAAGTGGAGTAGTCTTTTAATTGGGTAATTTCAACAACAAGAGGAAGAGCAAATAGAGCAAAAACCACACGGTAAACTCAGTTTTTTTTTTGTATTTGGGAGCTCACTCCCTACTCTCAATGGTTGCTCGTTGCAACTACCGGAGGATGTCGCTGGAAACGCTCGTAATGAATGTTGCCAGCATTGTTTACAATGTGTGCGCATTTTCCCTAGTGAAGAAAAAAAAACCACCAAATTGAAATTCAAATGGAAATGAGTGAGTACTTTTTTTTCGCTCACTTCCTATTTCGATACAAGGAATTGAACTTCGGATGATGAACGATCATGTTTTTGCCTGATGTGTGGTACAGGCAAAAAAAGAATTCCATTATGATTTCCTGCGATTTCTTTGTATGTTTCCCTCTTGCGATATTTTTTAAAATAGCAATAGCACATCATTTCTGGCTGCCATTCATGATGCGGCCGTATGAAAGGCGCTTAGCACGTATGATACAGTCATTAAACAATTTCATATTAATTCAAATTGCAAATAAAGCACTTCCTATTTGCTTTTCCTTTTTTGCTTGCATGACTCTCGGATTTTTCTCTCCCTCTCTCTCTCTCTCTCTCTCTCTCTCTCTATGTACGCTATCGTGACTTTACCTATTTAGTTTTTGCCTAATATCAAAACATATGCCAAAAGTTTAAAATCCATTTTGATTCAGCGAAATGCTGAAATGAAACTCCCAGCGAGCGAGAGGCAACCGGATGAATGAATAATAGAAGCACATAACTCATCTCGACTCATTTTAACAAGGCAAAATTAAAAAGCATACAAAAAACCAAATGGAGAGAGAGAAGGAAACAAAAGAACGAATGAGCTAAAGCAAACAGGGCGAAAACCTCATTGGAAACAATAGCAAACGCACGTATAGAAATCGGTCGAAAAGCCGAAATAAATTAAATGAGTGTGTGTACTACTGTGAGTGTGTGTGTGTGTGTTGAGCAAATGCAGAAAAATGAATGCCGTGTTTCCCCATTTTTTGGTTGTAAACCAGACCCAGAAACTATTCGACTAAAACGTAATGGAAAAACGAACATTGATGTATTTTGTTCTTGTATTGTTTTACGTCTGTTTGCATTTCCCGAACAGATTCACTGTGCATATACACTTTTGCTTGCCTTCCCGCTCTCTATCTCTTCCACTCACCCTCTGCCCAGTGCTATAACATTTTAATCTGCCAACGAATGTGAAAACCCATTCGAAATTAACGGCAAATACAAATAAATGAAAGACAAAAAAAAACATCTCCATTTTGTATCATCATATTAACCAAATATGTGGACGGAGTTGGTGTATGGTGTGGATTTTTTTCTCCACTTTGGCCGCTAGTTCATTCATTTATCTCTCACCCAAAGCCGTGCCATTTTCACCAATGATTCTCGCTTTTACGACTTCATTCAGTCGGCACGGCTTTTATACACTTTTATTAACTTTCCAACTACTCATTTGTTACATCATTCTCTATATATGCTCATTTTTTCTCTCTCTCCCCTTCTCTTTTTTAATACCTTGCTCATCGTTTTCGTGTACATCCGCATCCTGATGATTGGACGTGGCCATTTTGTGATTGGATGGCAAAAATGCTGGGAAAATCGAACAACAACAACAACTACGATGACGACGGAATAAAAACTATAAAAACGCACGGCCGCCGCACATACACATACAGTTGCATGCATTGAGGCGTCTCATGCAAGGAACACCTGAACATCCAAAAGCACCGCTGGGAAATAATTTTCGGCCACCGCAACCATTATTACATCGACCTGTACGTACAAATATTGACTTTCGAACGAAGCAAAATGGTAAACTATGTCCGACCATGTATCGCGACGTTCATTACAAAGGTAAGGCACTTACTCCTTTTTTCGTAGTTCGTCTGGCGCAAATGGATTTTCACGAAATTAAAAATTATTTATCGATTTTTCTCCTTCCCTCCACCGTTCATTCGTCCACTCGCTCGCTCGCCCGTCTCAATTTCACTCACTTCGATTCTTTTTCCCACCTCTTGCACACTGGCTACAATTAAACAAATTATTTACTGGATTTTCGCTACGTGACCACGTCTATCGGCGTGTGTGTGCTTTTATTTTTGTACATTTGTTTGTGACTGTGAATGTTTCAGTGAACATTCACGAAAACGCCGTTATTCGCCACAACAAAGTTACAAATTTAATTAAATACGACTCATTTTCTAGAGGGAATTTCTATTAATTGGGTTAAATGGAGTTTGCGTCATATCCATAGATATATTCTTTTAGCCTAAAAATAAACCGAATTGTAATCACTTCATTTTTTTTCTTGCGCCAGCTCTTCTTTATTATCTCTCACACATTTTGCTCTTTTTCCTATTAATTATCACTTAATTCGTTCGAGCTGAAAATTAAAAATAATTTCTTTTCTTTTTTCCATTGTTCATGTTTTTCTTTTGCACATGCTAACCAATCAACCACAACGCAACCCCTTTATCACAAACTGTGCCATGGCTTTTTTGTAATCTGCGCTTCTTCATTGCCCCAACCAACCAACCAACTTTCCGGTCACCGGTTCTACAAACACACACACCCTCTCTATTTTCTGTCTCTTTCGCCATCCCCATCAACTCATCATTATCATCTCTTCAACCATTATCATCGTTGTCGTCGTCATCAACGACAACATCGCTTGTTTCACAACAGCAAATAGTTGGAAGGAGCATTAAATTGTATAAGTCAACCAAAGTAAACATAAGAGAAGAAGGATGAATAACAAAGCCGGCGCAAACAACATGAAGAATGATCTAGTTTTAATCAAAAATAGAAAAAAAAAACCCAACCGAATCGAAAACCAGACAAGCTGAATAGCTTTCGATAGAGATGAAATGAAAACGAATTATTGGTTTGGGAAAGTACAACATCTTCATATTTTGATGTTGTTGCTGGCTGCTGTTGCTTTTGCCATTAAATAAGAGTGACGCTGGATTTATATTTAAGATGAATGTCAGAAAAAAAAACATGGAATAATGGCATGAGCTGGAGAAGGAAAGAAGAACACACAGAGAAACACGCGAGTCATGGAATGAACTTGTCTATGCAACGTCACATCAAGAAAAAATAGCGAACAATCCAATTTCTTCCATTGTTTCCTTTCATGCGCCCGAGGAGTATACACAACTCCAAGTTGCATCGATAAAAATACTACAAACATTCCCTCCCAACTTCGGACAAATAGAGAGCTGGAGGATGTGTGTAAGATCGTTGAAAAATATTACATGCAAATTCTATCAGAAACGCAAACGCTAAAAATGAACACTGAAATGAAGCAAAAATCAAAGACGAGTACGAGAGAGTGAGAGAGAGAGAAGCGTTTGAACATGTCTGTCGGGGTGTCGGCTGCTGTATGCACATCGTGAAACAAACGTACTACCAAAAAATAGAAGAAGAAGAAAGACAAAGCAGAAAAAAAGACGCACGAGAATGTTCTACACCATCGTATCCATTGCACGGCATTCAGCACGAAATGGCTCACAATCAAACAATTTAAAATGCAAAAGTGAACGAGATAGAGAAGAAATCGGTTCGGTGTTCTATTTCGCTTTCTCTCTGTCAAGTATCTCTTGAAATCGAGTGGAGGATTCAGTCGGGTACAGAGGGAATGGGGCCATCACACAGTGTTCCGTCGAAACAGCTTCCGCTGTGTGCAATTGTGTCTGTGTGTATACATCTTCTATTTGCTTAATAATTTCAAAATTTTGCAGAGAATAAAGAGAAGAAGGGAAAAACGCGACGAAGGAAGAGAGAGAGAGAGAGAGAGAGAGTGCAGCAGCTAAAGGAATTTTGAATATGTGTCATTTTCAGTATTCGTGAACAAGTGAACAAAGAATAAAGAATAACAAGGAACGAAAGAAGATCCATAAAAAATGATCCGAAAGAGTAAATTGAAGACGACAAGTAGTCATGGAATGTAATGGAATTTCTCAAATACCTTCCAATTTTTGTAAGATGAGCCAAACTGAACAGAATGCATTTTTTTCCACCACTACATGCTCTCCCCTTCCCCTCTCCTCACTCAAGTTTGTTCAGAACCGAACGGAGTTCGTTGAAGTTAGAGAAGAAAGTTTTTTTTCTCTTTAAGTATTCATGACGAATTTTAGTATAATTTTTAGAGAATTAGGCAAAGAAGTGAATTTATTGTGATTATGATTTTGATTGATCACAACAAGTAAAACAACTGCAACAAAAACAAGAAAAAATTGTGAATTTGCCGCGATGCGCGCGTTGCATTTAAGTATGAAATGTTTCAATAGACCATTCAATCAAGTGCTTCAAAAATCGCTGCATTTGAAAATGTACTTCCATCAATTTCAGCCATTGAGGCTTTTGAACTTCCCAACCATCAATCACATTTAAATTATACTTTGTTTCATTCCATTTGCATTTCGATCTCATTTGGGAGCAATGAGAAATTCAGTTTTTTTTTCTGATGAAAAATGCAGCATTTTTTCAATAAAAAAAACGAGTCTCTTCTGTAGGAACCTACCTTTTAGCAACAAAACTAATATCATTTATTATAATGAATTCTCTTTTAAAATTCGTTGAACAAAAGAAAAACAATTCGTTGAAGTAAATTATTTCATTTTAATCATAAATTGTTCGGAATCTTCTTGTTAGTAAATGCAGTTATTATTTTTTTTCCCGGAACTAATGAACTTAGTTTAAACATCCAAGTGAAGCCAAATTCTAGAATGCGACGAACAACAAGGTGAAATGAAATTGTCTGCAGCAAAAAAAAACTTTCCATAGAAAATCATTATCTGTGCAATGATTTTTTTCCCCTTAAATTTATATATTTATGGCACTGAAAACACATAGCGTAAGTGAATTAAATGTAAATAAATGAAAATCTAATTTGTTATGCTTTTAAAAACGCTTGATGCAGCAACAAACAAAAAAACGAAAATGTGGAGAAAAAGAATAGTTTCGTTGAAAAAAAAAGGTCCGAATTTTTTTTCCTCCATTAAATTCAAATGTGACACGATTCAATAGGGAGTTTTTAGAACAAATCCCTCGCTTCCCAAGAGAAACGGTCAATATGTTTATACGCTGTCTATCCGCCGAAAATACACTACAATATATATATACGCTTATTGGACGCCGAATTGAATATATATTCTAGTGTATATTCGGTGTATTCTTCAGCGTGAAACATATTGAATCAACGAATGCATTCATAGCCACCAGAGGGCGCCTGAATATGTTTCAATATGTTTCACGCCGAAGAATACGCCGAATATACAGTAGAATATATATTCAATTCGGCGTCCAATAAGCGTATATATATATTGTAGTGCATTTTCGGCGAATAGACAGCGTATAAACATATTGGCCTTTTCTCTTGGGTTGAATGAAATAAAGCCACAAATGGAAAATTGTATAAAATAACTTTAAGGACTCTGGCGAAAAAAGGAATATTTAATAAGTATTATAAATAAAGGAATGGAGGGTGAATGACGAAAAACCAACATACTCACCATGATGAACTAGTCTGTATCTTGTAGGGGGAAAATACCAAATGAATGAACAATTAAGACACATATCAGAGATTTTTATGAAAGAAATAATCATTTCGAAAGCAAAACCTAGACATTTCAGAAGAAAAAAAACCATTATTTAATTAATCTGATGAATATTAGAGATTAGCGCTCGCTAAAGGTTGATATCATATTTACTAAATGAATAATGAGGAAAGTATTTACTTTTTATTTTGGTTCAACGATGAAATCCACAAATTTAAAGCAGCTGGAAAAGTTCTCCATCATACGTTTGGTGACGGCTTGGTTCAGATTGTCCCATTTTTCATCGATTTTCAATGCACTTTCAGTGAAGTTTTCAACTATGCAGTGCTGGCCCACTTTCTATTACACTTTACTCCGGAGAGTGATTTCTCACTCTTGCCAAAAATGGTTTGCCTCATTTACTCCAGTTTGATGGTACCAATTTCGTATCCAGGTTAGAGTCGACCACACATTATTCATTCAGAAATTTTTCCAGAGGAAATTCGAGCTGATAATTCACTTTGGCCGTAATTCATTGTATACAAACTGCAAAAGACTATGTCAAATTACAGACAGATTACATTTTCACAAAATATTTATTATGACAAATTATCTTTCACCTGATAATCAAGGGTTTTAATTATCCATCGTATCCATGATAATCTGAATTATACACTTTTGTCCTACGACTACAGGAGTCGAATCGAAATTGATTGTGTCAATCAAAACTATTAAACATCTCATGAACTTTATTTATAGTCGGTAACTCAGCAATTTCCAACAAAATTGATCAATTGATTGAGTTTCACTGTGTCAGCATTGAAAAACCAAAACGTGCAATCGATAAACAAATATAGTCGAATGTGGATAATTGTGCGCTTATCTAATATTCACCCGATCTTCGTCTGCGACGCAGAAATGTTACTACTCTTTTTTATCAGACTGTCGCGTATAAAATGGGTCTTGAAAATGTTTAACCGCGCTTGATAAACCAATTGAATATTCAACAGTCAATTAAAAGAGAAAACAAATCATTTTTGAATGAACGTCGATTCTAATCAATTCCAATGCTATTGAACTGACGAGTAAACCGGTTTAAAACGAAGAAAAGCATTTTTTGGTTATTAACAATTGTTTATTTTCGACATGAACACGAACATGACTGATCCAGACATAGTGGGAGCTTTTCTATAATGACTCGTTTTTTTTTCTCTCTCTAATTTCATCATTACTGTCAATTTCATTCAATGAATAAGGAAAAAGAAACCCAATTTGGAGATAATAATGACTTCATTGTATCAAAACTAGTGAAATTCATTGCAATGATTGGTTGAAAATTTGAACAAAAAATAACTATAAGAGATTTATTGAATCAATTTGAAAGAAGTAATGAATTGAGTATATATGATGAGTGATGACTGATTGTTTAGCAAACATTGTTTGCTGTATAAATAGAAATTCGCGTATCATCTTCTTCGTTCTGTTGATATTTGTTTCGTTTATGACTCAATTTTTGACTAAATAAATAATGTGACTCAGAGAGAGTTTCTGAGATGAGGTGAATAATAAAAAGGAAAAGGTAATCGTCATGTATGAGCGTAAATACTATATTATTGTGTGTATGAATTACACGCAGAAGGAACACAAATTGAGAGAACAAACAAAAAAGAATTAGCAAAAATTTTATCCGCAAATTGTAACAGGTAATTCAAGAGTAAAAAGAAATTGAAAGAGAGGTTTAACATAAAAATTGTATCCAATTGACGGAAAAAAGTTTGGAAATTGTTGTTGTCATATTACTGAAGAAGAATTAAGCAAAAAATAGAGAAATATACAAAGAAAACGACTAATAAACTTGGAGTATATAAATTGAAGTAAAGTTTAGTATTTTTGAAATTAATTTGCTACATTTCAGCGATGAGGTGAGCAGAGGTGCGGGCAGCAAGTCAGTCAAGAACTTCTTGTAAGGGTAAGTAGTTCAGGTGTTTTGAAGTGAAAGTTTTGTGTACCAAAAATAAGGCTACTTGATACATGGATGGTGAATTGGCTGTAACAGACAATATCAAAGTTGTTGGAGCTTTGAAATTCCTCTGGCTAATTGAAAGCACCGGAAAATGATTAAATTAATCTTGATCTAAAATTGATGTGACGTAACTGCAGCAGCACATTCTTCATCATCTCTATCCATGCACACACACACACACACAGAGAGAGATACAAAATATTAATAGATGTGTGCATTTAAGGTGCAGTAACGACGCATTTTGAAAATCCGGCCACTGGCATTAGTGAAATTGCAAATTGTTTTGCAAAGTCATATCGCCCAAGGCCATGTGACTCAAGTGCTTGTGTTTGTGTTTGTGTGTGCGCGCGCGAGGGAGGAGGGCATCAGCAACAGTAGCAGTAGTAGTAGCAGAAGGGGGATGCTCCCAAGATAATGTGTACCGCATGTTACCTATCATGCAAAGTGAATACACATCGAAAAACTATCATTACACACAATACGAGATTCAGCGATTAATTTTCAGAGTAAGCACTTTACTGTTTGGGCCACTTTATGCATGCACTGTTGTGTGACCGTAACGTGTGTCGTATAATGACGATGCGATAAACTATAACGATCGAGACCTGATAAACCGACCGAGTGGCAGTTTAAGGAACCGTCCATGTACAATGGCTGCCGTGCGAGTGGATAGATGAAGTGGCTCTTTGCTACTCTCACAATCGATATGAACATATCTAAATGCGCATATCGTTGCCAAAATGCTTAGGAATTTAATTCGATCTCTATATGTGCAAATTAGTACCGAAACTCTTAATTATGTCGTTACGTTGTTCGGGAATGACTGTGTGATGTTTGTGTGTGTTTTTCTTTCATTCTTCCATTCTTTACTCCTCTCTCTCTCTCACCTTCTCTCTTCGCATACACACACAGAAAGGAAAGGATGTGTATGATTCAGATATAGAAATGGAATGGAATGGAATTTCTTCTTCAAAAGTCTAGCAGTTATAGCACAGACGACGATGTGCCAGTACGAAAATTATCCCATGAGATCAATAAACAACGGTCTCACGTTTCACATAAAAACCGATGCTTCAAAATCTTTTCGTTCTTGTTTCGCAACTTGAAGTGTGCTTGCATTGAGCGGTAGGTTGAGCGCTTGAACAGCTTGATGCTTTGGCTGGCGCTGGAACCAAGTATTCACACCGAAAACCGAGCATAACTATCTATTTTCTCTTCAGTTTTATTTTTATCCGCCTCTTTTTGTCTTCTTTTTTGTTCTCTCTTTGTTTTCCAGCACGTTATTAGATTAACTGTCTTGAGATACAGTTATATACGTACAGCATTCATGCAAACAGTTTCATTTTCCCCAGCTACGTTTTCCATCTCTTTCACATGCGAATGGAATCAACATCGCTTTGCCACTCGTCGCATTTTAATCACACATTAGCCATTTACTTTTATTCGAATGGAATGCTCGTTTTCGTTTCTTGCACGAAATAATTGGGAATTGTGTGCTGTGTATGTGTTTGGGCCCGGTGTGTATGTGTGCGGATGGCCGAGAGTCAATCGGCGAAATAGAGATATCATTCCCCGTAGGAATCAAACCACACAGATTTTTGCAAGCAACCAACACGATGGAATTGTGCCAAAAACGTTTTGATTTGATTTTCGCACATAAAATCGATTCGTTCAATTTCTCATTCCGCCACGTTTTGTGATGTACATCGCTTTGTTTTTGCAATAAATCGAAATTTTAGACCATTTAAAAAAAACGTATTAAGCCAATATAACATAGGTCCAATACTCAATTCAAGTCCGTTTTTAATACAGTTGGAAATTCCAAAGTTCGCTTCAGTGGGATAATTTCAGCCATTCACAAGAAGTGAACGAACCCGTTTTCCATATGTTTCCAACTATTTCGGTCGCATTTGTGTTCAAGTTCTGGAATAGTTGACCAATTTTACTGATTATTTTGATATTTTTTCTTCTCTTTGTCTTATGTGCCCGTTGTCATTGAGTCGCAAAACTTTCTTTGAAAATAAGTTTCAATGCATATTGCCAATTGGTCGTTGTTTCAATGTGCTTCTTCGAAATGAGAAGAAAATTTAATTATTCCATGAACTCAACCGACCAACATATTTGCTGCAATTCAAAGTTTATGAATGGCCGGTTTGGCTGTTTGTTTGTTTCAATTGAATTTCATTATTTTTCTTGCAATTGAACTTCACCACAGCATTTGAACGTTACATTTGCTGCTGATTGTTCTGCAGGAGTTTCCAATGGAATTGCCCACATTTGAAGCGGTTTCAGTTCATTTTCAATCATAACATGATTGAGACATTCAAAGCAAATAAACATCTTTATTGATACTCTACCATAATAATATTGATGATCAAAAATATTCAACTGCCAATTTCCGGACATCAAATGAAACGCACAATTTTATTTTTAATGCTTACACAGTGTATTTTTCTAAGAAATTTGAGAAGCAGCACACTTGGTAACGTTTTGCTGTTTTTTTTCTGGCAACTGTGCTAAAACCCGCTTTTGCTTACAATCTAAAAGATTACGTGGTGTTCACGCTGAAATTTGGACTAAGGCCATACGCACATAAGACAGAAATTCTGTCTGTTATAGAATATCACTGTTGTTGTTGTTGTTTTTTTTTTTTGTTACAAACTATCATTACGCTAGATTATAATTTATTATCATTACTGCGGAGATGATTTCAAATTTGTTTGTCGCCTTTAAATTTGAATTTGTACTCGGCATTGTCCATCGACCCTGACTTCGCCTTTCCTGCACTGATCCGGTGCTTCGAATATGATTCGATCTTCCAAGTTGACTACAGTTGTCACCGGAAATTCGTCTGTTAGGCCTGTGGTCGTATCAAGTTCGGACGTTGTGCTAAGAGTTGATGTGGCATCAACGCCTGAAGTCAATTGATGATTTGGTGTTGTCTGATGGTTTGGATTTGTTGGTCCATTTGTGGATGGATTGCCATCAGCTTTTGTATCACCACCACCAGAGAATTGATCACTGTCTCTAAAGACGATCTTGTCTGAATCTAAACTTTTGCTATTTGCATCATTATTTGTTTTCAAATTAACGTTTGAATTCTCGACTTTGGCGCCTTTGTGGTTGTCCATTGTTTTCGTCGTCGTTCTATTACCGCTGTTAGCTTCTTCAATTTTTGTTTTCAAATAATTATAACCTGATGAGACTTTATTTTTTACTACCTCTGTGAATGGTTTAAATGTGCACCCAACTTCTTCGAAGAACGACTTCACTTTATTCACGGTAGTTTCAGTGGCGTTGCTTCCTTCTGCATGATCACGTTCAACACAAGCTGCATCCACTGTGACCATAGCACTCGTTAGCGCTACGATTAACAAAAAAATCACACTTTTCTCCATATCACCAATAAATGCGTGAATTCTATTTCGTCAAACCGATTTCTATTCTCTTTTTATTATTCTTTCTTAGAAGCGTGTTCTTTTTTCTCAGCGATATCAAAATGACAACGGAAAAAAACATGCACGAAACAAGATTCTTCACAGCACCGAACCGACTGCGACAAGCAAACAAACTGAAATAAAGTGATCAGTGCCAAATGGCAACACACCGATACAAAAACCAGAATAAAGCAATGCAAAACGTCGAAAACATACACCGTATAAACGCTGCTTGTGCTGTGGCTGCCGTCGTTGCTGTTGTTTGCTTCTTTTTTCTCTGTTTCACTCTCAATGTTAAAATGACTATTGAAAAGATTTCATCGGCTAAAAAAAAAACTTCAAAGCGATTTAACAAGCAGCAAAAACACTAAGAAATGTCGAAATTGTCTATCGTTCAAATGTTGAACATTGCTTCATCGCTTTGCTTGTGGAAGGTAAGACACGAAAAGCAACACAGATAATGATGGTACGTTTGATCAGCTGGAATCACGACCTTTGACAAAGTGTGCGTGTCTCTCACCCTCTCTGTGTGTATGGGAAAAAGAGACAACAAACCGGTAGCCAACCGTACGTAGCTATTTTCAGTTTGAACGTGTGTTCGTGTGTTAAACATACATGTGTGTATAACCCCATCAACGTCATTATTATGTTAAAATTTTCAATAAATATACTTCGATTTCGGTGCCACAACAAAGTTTATATGCAAATCGCGAAGACTACGAATCAGATTACCTTATTCACATCTGATTTCTTCGTGAATTTCGCTGTTACTCAACTATAATTTTGCACGTAATTGATCGAAGAAAGGAGAAAAAGCGTTAAGTCAACCGGTATTGTTATCTATATTTCGTTTTATTGAACAGTATCGTATTTATATGACGAAGGCCAACAGCACTCAGTAACACTACTTAAGGTAAAACAGTATTGGTTTTATTGTTTCTGTAAAATTGAACTGCTTTTCTGAAACAAAGTTAAATTTGCTGAAATTCTTCGGCTTTTGGAACCACAGATACTGCATATAAGCATCTGACAGCTCACTTCTAGCGCTACGGAACAAGTGTCAAAAGTTGTGACTCAGATCGTTCAATGTTTACTGCAAACTATTGCATCGTTTTTATATTTGTTAACAAAGAAGACACAAAAAAATAAAAATGTCACGAATGTGCAAAATTGATTTTTGTGAGATAAGCAGGCGATAAACATCAATTCTATCAGTAGAAAAATTCATTATCGCACATTCGTGTTTTACTTTGTTTTAGTTAGTGTTATGCATAGGTTGCGTTTGGAACTCAGTCTATCTATGGCACACTCCATACATACACAGCCCTTTAAGATTGTTTTATTATTATGTTATAAATTATGACTCAAATTCGAATAATTGTTTGACTGAAAATTCGATTAATCACACACCTAATTTACCTCTTGTATATCTCTACGATGAATTCGCCAAAGTGTATCCATTAAGTATCAAAAGCGGTAACCACTTTAATTATACCTGTTACTACATCGATTTATAACTATATCACAAACTCAACAGCCTTGACTACGCTTTACGGAATCAGTTGTACAGTATACGTGCACTTGAACGAGAGAGAAAAAAAAATGCGTCAACTTGATTTGAACAACGCGTTTATTTCGTAGTGAATGTTACATTTGTTTGTGCTGATGATGCTTAAAACTCAGTTTATGCTTAAAATTACACATCGATTGAGATATAATTTATAAAAATAGAATCCATTGAATGGATTTTTAATTATAGTCGAAGAAAATGGAATGGTTTTTGGCACTTTTTTGTGTAATCGTCCCATTGTGTACCGCTAGGGCAAATTTGTGGCGTTTGGAGGATGGCACGGAATGGTATTGAATCCGATGAGTTGGACAAATCATCATCATCATTGAAGTTGTCGAACGGAAATCCTGCAACGCACATGACACTCGGTGGAAAATGTGAATTGATCACAAGCAAAAGTGCACAAAACCAAAGTGGCCCCATTCGTATTCGAAATGCTACTGTTGAACGATGTGAATTATTTGTACAATGATTTTTCCTAAATTTAAGTTATATATATATAGCATGTTTTTAAGCAATGGAACTGCATTTAGTGAGAAGGGATTAATAATCAAGTTTTTTTTTGCACCAAATAAGTACAGTTTGATATAGTTAGAGGGGGAGCTGTGAGAAAAAAAAACTCGTACTTCCAGTCAATTGAACCGCATTTGCTATTTTTCGTGGAACCAACCACATTGTGGCTATTCAAGTCAAGTAATTATTTTACCGTTGGGTGAAAAAACAGTAAAAAAAACTTTCGTAGAAGCTGTTGAAATAATGATGTTAAAATATTGTAATTCATAATTAGAAACTAGAACGAATCAAATCAAATGGGACTAATCAAATTAACACCATAACGATTAGCTGTTGAGAAAGAAACGCACTAATTGAGTTTAATTGATAAGAAACATTGTATAAATAGAGTAAGAAAGCTCAATAAAGTATTCAGTCGTATATGAATCACAACAGAAGTGCTAAACCTATTCCTGCTGTTTATTTTATTGGTATTTACAGAAAATATGGATACAGATCACTAAAAAGAATGCAAAGCGACAACCAAATTCATTGATTAAAAAGAATAGCAACGACACTTATGACGTAGAAATTCTTTCTATGTCTATTTTTGGCTATTAATTCATTATCTTATCAAAGCGCTAATATCAGCGAAAGCAGTATTACACTTAAATCAATATTCCGAGAATGAAAGCACTCAAATTTAAATGAATTTCAGAAAAACGCTCAAAAATTGTGTTTTGGTCATATTTGTTTTATTCTTTTATTATGATTTCATACAAATATATCAAAATTCCAAGTATTCGTTATTGCAGTTTAATTTTGTACAAATCAAAACACCATAAATTACATTTTCGTTCAGTGTTGAATCAATTCTGAGGTCTTTTTCCATCGGGATGCGGTTGATTGAAATTAGCGACGTTTCGGCAATTCAGCCAATTTGACTGGTTCTCCGGGTACATCCGATCTTAAGTCGATATCAGGTGAAGCAGTTTGTTGGTCTTGGTTGGATGAAATCTTCTTTTTTACATATTGATAACCGTCTTTGACCGTGTCTGTCACTTGTTTTGCGCCAGTTTTCAGTCCACATGTAACTTTATGGAGGAAACCCTTAATTCCACCCGTTTCAGTGCCATCATTATTATCACAACTACATTCGGTACTTTTAGCACTGTCGGCTTTGACTGTTGGTGCCACCACTACCAAAAAAACACCCACACTAACTAGCAAAAATACCAAACTGAATCCGTTGCGTGCGAACATTGTTTTTCGAATTCTTATTTTCGTTCAAAATCACCGATTTCGAAAATTGACCAAGTTCAGTTGATTTGCGGCTGACCGACAGTCAAGTTGATTTGTCACTGAATGGAATTGAAACACGGTGTCTGAGCTTATGCGTCGTTTTAAATCAATGATTTTTTAATGCGTTTCTTTTTCTTCGACTGTGGCCCAATTAAGTCAGTGTACAACAGTGCTAAAGTTGTGCCAGAGTGAGATCGAACGAGATTTCATTTATAATCCGTTCACATTGTCGAAGCGAGAGATGCTGGGAATTCCAGTGAAGTAATAAATTACAATTTGCTTTCGATTTCAATGTGTTGACCATTTTGTCGTTGTGTTAAACTCGTGTTTTTTTTCTCGCGCTAACAAGAATTAAACATTAATTTAATTTCAAAATGAAATAAAATGAAAGAAATCGCAGCGAATATGTGCAAAAGATAACAGCTGACTTTAGATGAAAAGGGCAAATCCTGACGGGGATTTTTTGCTCACAATTTTATTCGTATTTTGTTTTTGTCACTGGCATCAGAATTCGCACTGACATTTAAGATTGAGATTCTTTGTAACTCGCGAAATATCCCACAACGATTCCAAAACAATTTCGATTTCTCCGTTTGCAATTAGCAACTAAAATCAGATAACGGAATTAATTATCACTATGAATATGCGGAATGAATAATTACCGTCGCACATTTTGCATTTCACATGCCGGAATGTGCATGAATCCGAAGCAAATTTGCATACAATCATCCGCATTGAGAACAGGTGATAAGGAAATGGAGTGAATCAGGTACGATTTCATACAGATGTCAATTGATGAGTAATGAAGTCACTATTTTCGCATTTCGTAAGCAATGAGAAATAATATAGGGTTGTGGTCAGCGGTTGACAGTATTCGGGTCAGTTTGTACATCAAAGAATATTCAATCTCTCTACTTAAATGTTAGCATTTTTGTTAAATTCATCATTAAATTCCTTGGCACATTTTGTACCCACTGCCGTGTGGATCCATGGTTGACTATCCAGACTGAATCTAGAGTATTTCAATAGAATCGAATGACAATTAAATCTTCCATTTAAATTAGATATCAAAATTGCGATCGGTTTTCCAGTCGAATTTTCATCTACAAATTCCGAAATCAATTTACAATTAGAATGATTGCCATATCAATGGCAATGAATGTTTTACTAAACATTTACAAGTGAATGCATGAACATTGAACTGTGTGTGTGTGTATCAAGCACTCGAAAATTCGATACCTTTCCAGTGTGGTACCCGGCCGCCCATCTAAATCGCATAGCTGTACTGCATTTTCCATGAATAACGGAAATGTATTTGGTTTTCCGTCTTTGATTGAATTCGTAATAGAAACCTAAGCAAACCAAATAAAATGTGGTCCGACTTTAAATAAACAATTTCAAAATTTAATAAATATCACTCGTCGATATTTGCATAGAATGTAATACGATTTGCAAACGGAATGGAATGAATTCAACACTGGCTGAAGGTCAGCGGTTGAAAGTGTTCGGGCTGTGGCTTGTGTTTGCCTTTCGTTTATGATTTGTGTATTGTGTGCGGTGCCAGTGATTTGGCCCGAAAATTGGATTGTTGCACAAAACAAACGGAGTATGGCAAATATGAAATGAAAGAGGCAAAACACAGACCAAAGTATTTTCGGAGGCAGCCGGAAATTAAATTGATGCCACAAAAATCGTTGCAATGTTTTCATTTTAGCGCGACATTTTCGATTTTGGATTTATATTTGTTTATTTAAATGAAAATATCTCTCATTCTGTTTGAGTCACATGCAAATGCCGACATACGGTACAGCGCTTGTAATTTATTGACTGTCTCGTGCACACAAAATTTGCATATACGACAGAAATTGCATCGGACATTTTCATTTCTCTTTATGCCAATGCATTTATGTATACAACCAATTTTCTGTTCTAAAATTGCGCGCTTTTTTTTCGATTCGGTTGTTGGAAATGATTCCAACAAAAGCATGAGCTTTTGTTTGTTCCAAATAAAACAGAAATAGAGACTATGTTGACAGAGAACTCGGCTTCCAAATGGTTTACTTTAAGCTTCGTTGTCATTTTTTTGGTGGAATTAATCCGGAATCACAATGTGCAATGCATACAATCCTATACATTGACGTTTATCGTTATATTGGCGCAACCAAGCCCATGGAAGATGAACTATGCAATACTATATTGGCTAATGGTTCTGAACGTTTGAACGAATGCATTTGGACTTATACAAACAAAATCATCATGACACAGATGGCGCTTCATTTGACACATTCCACACATATTTTGATTTCGATTAATCTATGGAATGCGAGTTATAAACGGAAAAATATCAGTTGTTACGGTAATACTGGGCATAGAACAAATAAATGGGAATATTCACCTTGATCAAAGAAAATTACTGCCACCGAACTTTGCCGAGAAATGGGAATAATAAAAATGTTTGCGTCTCAGTCGTGAACGTTTTGCAATCGAATCGATTTGGGTAAATAGTGCGGAAGTTGTCATCTCGAATTGGCATCCATTTCAATGGCTCTCAGTGCAATGTAGTGACACAGTTCATCTGTATTCATCGCCTGCTCCCTGATGCCTGATGCTTCGTGAAACGTCCACACAAAAAGACGCCTCGCAAAACTTTGCCAATAGATAATAATATCGAGAACTATCAATAGAATTTATTGTCATGAAATATGATGTAATAACTGCCGTGTCATAGCTATTGTCATCGCTTTCGTTGCGCCGGGGCATGTGTTTGTGTTTTTTTATCGGCAGTTTGTTGGCTGTGCTCAATAGAACGACCCATTTATTCATTTATTCAAGTCAGCTCAATGTATATGATTATTGTAACTGTTTACGACACATCAACCTATTGTCCCGTTTCACCGTAAACGTTGCCACCAACAAATGACCGATACTGTGTAGGTGGATGGAGATGCAGTTGCTGTGTTCGTTTCACTGGAGTGGATCAAATAATCTTTGTATCGAAAAATATGGAAAATAAAGAAATAGAAAATAAATCATGCTCAAATAATACCAAACACAATCTTCTCTCTTTCTCTCTCGCAGACAAAAATGATAAGTGTAAAAGCGCCAAACGACCGATACACGATACACTCGCTTGGCGAATGCTCAGTTCTCTGTTTCGCTCATCCATGAACTGGGTTCATGTATTAAAATAATCCCCTTTTGTTGGCGTACGTGTTCGGAACACAAAGTGTTAGTCAGATCAAATGAACTATGTGATTCACCGTTTTAGTTTTGTCGACTCAAGCGATTCGTGTGGACCATGAAACAGACACGGTGAGCGAGAGAGAGAGAGAGAGATGGAGCGCCCGAACACGAAAGTTGCAAAAAGATGCGAGATAAACATCACGGCGAACATTTGTGACGTTGCTCGTCGTATCCGGTTCAAGTGCAATGCAATAGGTAAAAAAGTCATTCTTGTAATGTTGACTCTGTGAAATAGTCAAAAATACGTTCATAACCATAAGCATCTTCCGTCTCGAATAATGAATTTATTAATGCTGAAAGAAATGAGAAATCTGCCGGTAATACCTAAACAAAAATATATCGGGTTTCGAAAAGAAATTAGAATAACGTTGAGTTCAATGCTTACACATGCTTTGTCATTCATCGCTCAATCGCACAATGAACTATAGCCACTGAACTAGACAGAATTAAATATGTCTCATTTTTCGTACGTTGAACCTTTTCAAATGCCGGTTTAAAAAAAACTTCCACTGATCTACTCAAGTTTAAACAAGTCAATAATCGAATACCGGGGGATATTTGCTTCAATGCTTGAACCATTTCAATCGATAATTCAAAGTACACACTCGAAATTATTGGCATAAATGTCATTGATTGAAATTATCGGTCGATTTGTAATTGAGATTTGAAATGATTGACATACTGACGACATGAAAAATTCCTCCCATGTGCGGTTCATCGGTTGGAATGTGATTTTAGAATGTCGGTCGTGAACGACAATAATCAGGACTTGCCTGCACATTTATTGTAGTTTTCAGAAATGTTGCGTATTTATAATTTTTTTCTCGCAGAATCCCAATGAATTGACATTAAAATTAACAAAGACGCATTTAACAGCAGTGATAATTGCTTAATGACATACATAGAAAAAAATCGTTGGTTTGAGATTCGCTTGTGTTTCCTCTAATCATTCATATATCATTTGCTATACGTCTGGCTTTGTGTAGATTTCGTTATTTGTGACGAAATCACAGCGAACAAAATGCTCACGTCAATTGATAACTGTGTGTTGTGATTGATATGGATCGTGCCTCAAAAATCCATGCTTGAGTCGACACATGTATCATTTGCAGCGGCTAATCCGAGTCAATACTCACTTTAACCCATACGTGTTTTAATACTCGCTTCATAAAACGAAACGAAAAATTAACTCAAAACAATTGTTGATCGTTCTGAAAGAAGAAAAGTTGTCGTGAAAGAAAAAAAAAACAAAGTTTTTCCAAAACACCCAAACTGTTCCAGAAGAAAAGGGAAAGAAGTTTTTATTCCAAAACAACAACAAAAATCAAAATGATGAACTGGATTATCTTCAGTGTGTATTGTTGGCTGTTGTTGAATTTTTCCAGACCAGCCGAGTCAAAGATACTTATTTTCCGACGGGTAAAAGAATTCAAACCACAATCGAACCTAGAATTGAATCTGCTAACAAGTAATATGGTCAGCGTTCCGAGAGTAGCGTGCAAAGCAAATTTCCGACTTGATCACAATAGAAAGTGTAGGCCAGTCGTAGACTCGTGGTTTGATAAATAGCTGTAATACGAAAACGTTCAACTAGTTCTAAGCCAATAGGTTAAACCATTTAATTGTATTTGTTAAAAGGTGTAATGGGTTGCATCGGCCATTTCATTTGATTGTATCATTTTACACCGAAATATCATGTGAATGTGAAACATTTGACTCAATTTAATCAATTCATACATAGTATTTATTTGAATAAGCGGAATAAATATTTAAGCGAATCGAATACAAAATAATTGTTTTTTTTATTGGCACTTCACATATTTTCCATACATTGTTAACAGGTAATCGTGAAACTGTGTGATTTATTATGTGATGAAATCGTGAACAAATCAAAATCCAGGATAAACTATTCAATAAATCATACCGATTCCATTTTGACATGCTTTTTTATTGTACTTTATTGTATTATACATTTGTGTTGTGCTTGAATACGGCGAATCGATGAATCGGTGAGTAGGTGAATATTTTACGAATGGATACAAAAAGAATTCTGTTCTTATAGCACACAAAAATCAACATTCTCCTATGATTCACCGCTCATCGATTAGTCACAGGTAAAGTTGAATACCGGCTGATTAGCACAATTTGACCGGTAGTTTTTTTTTAAAATAAAACAAATGAAGATGATTCAGTTCCTGGTATTCAGCTTGTGTTTTTTCAAGGTTGCCGAAGTTCTCCATGAGAAATGAGTAAAAGAGTGAAGAAAAAATTACTACTGAAGATGAGTGGAATGAGTTTTGACAGGTGTGTGATGAAATAACTACGTTATTACGTAAACATGAGTCATATACATGAAATTGCAAGTTCTCACTCTATCTTAAGAATTTTATCATGAATTATGAATCTGGGGAAATAGAGGTGAAACGTCGCAATTACGAGTAAATCAATCAATCGACACAAATAAATTTGTGGTAAAACCCTTTTTTATTTTAAAAATAGCCGATAAAAAACGGCCACCGTGAACATACTATAATAGCTGTAGTTCATTCATACATCAATATTATGACTCCGCAGAAGATTGTCGTTCAGTTGAAGTACAAAACAACACATTTTAAAATGAACCCGACTAGATTCATTCATGTTTGATTCGAATTGAACGTTTTTCATTCAACTAAGAGAATGAAGCAATGCTTCATTGAAGCATCACTGATTTTAAAATAAAATATGATGTAAATCGTTTGGCAAAATGTGTTTTCCGTATCAATTTCACTGTTCTTTTTTGTTAGTAGAACACATTGACTTGTTTCACCTATTTACCTATACACGGAAAAAATGACTGAAAACCTCAATCGAAATACAAATATAATTAAACACGAATATAAATTCATTCTGAAATTGATACACATATAATAGCACCGTACGACTATGTTTGTATATATTAATGATAAGGAATACAAGTGTAAACTCAAAAATATCATGTTAAAATGACTGGTGCGATAATTACGGTACTAATCTGAATCAGCCGTCACTTAAACCATTACGCATTTTAACTCCATAGAGGGACAAAACATTTTTTGTTTTGGTTTGAAACGATGAAATTGACAAAGTGGATTTATTTGGGCCTGTGTTATTCGTTCCTGATGACTTGTTTCATGGCCGAAATAGCTGTATCGGGTCGAATAGTATTTCGTCAGACCACTATTAGAATAGCCACGACAAAATCAAATATAGAAAAATCGAATATTGTTTCAGTGCCGCGTGTTGGGTGTCCTACCGGATTCGCTCTGGATCATCGAGAAAAATGTCGCAAGGTCTTTGACGATTGGTAGTCACACAAGTAGTTACTAAGTGAATGCTGTGTTCAAAGACTAGTAAACTTTATATCAATTAAGTCAAAATTTGTTTACTTTCGTTACATTATAGTGTTAATGAAATTTTTTCGTTATTTTAATGATAATTCCATTTGTACTTATTTCACTATAAATTTTTTTAGTAACATAAAATAAATGTGTTGAACAAAATTAATTCAAGTCTGTTTCTTTTTTTTACTATTTTCACCAGCAGGTACTACCCAAATGAAACTGTAATAAACCACTTAGTCGAGGTGAATTTTCCATTGAAAATTCAATACAATTTACCACTGGACGTTTACCTCATCAATTTTGTATCGTTTGTAATTGGATTCACTCATGAGTTCATAAATAAAATACAATTTGTATTAAACAAACGATTAATCTTTCAACCAAACATAAATACACAAATTTCATATAAATTAACACGTTTTAATAATTATTGAATGGGGTTGGTACATTTTGCATTTGTCAATTTTGAGGTTTGATTGAAGTAAGCTTAGATCCAATGTTTTTAATTGCAAATTTTCCGATTTTAATTCCAAAATTCACAAAGTAAACACTTTACACTAGCTGTTAAAACTAAGCGATTTATTCAGTTTTGAACGGGAAAAAAAATTTACACATTTTATCATGTTTACTTCCGCGAATTATAAGCACTATCACATA